AGATTCTACAACCTTTCTGGGTAACCTGTTCCAGTGTTTTACTATCCTGCTTATGTAGTAGATGGAAGTTAAGCAAGGCTGCATCATCACTTCAGTACTCTTCTAAATATTCCTTGCTGTGATGCTACATCTGACCACCAACAAGCTTCCAGTTGGAGTGGAGCTAAACTACCAAGTGGATGGTAAACTGTTTAATCTCAGCCAACTCTGAGCCAAAACTAAAACACCCTAATGTCAATCCATTGAGGTGCAGTAGGCTGATGATGCTGTAGTGTGTGCTTACCCCACCCCTGCCCCCCCCTCCCCTGGGATGGCCTTGCCTGTATCTTGGAAGCTGTCTCTCACAGAAGGCTGACATTAATGAAGAAATACAACATTGCCTCAAGTCTGCAAGTGCAGCCTTTGCACACCTGAGGAAATGCATGTTCAAAGGTCAGATCTGAAACCAAGCTCATGATTTATCAAGCAGTTGTGATCTCCACCTTACTGCATGAAGCTGAGACATGGACAGCATACAGGAAACATCTCAAGTTGTTGGAGAAGAACCATCAATGTTGCCTGTGGAAGATCCTTCAAATTCAGTGGGAAGATGGACACACCAAGACTAGTGTCCTCTCACAAGTAGATACCATAAGCATCAAAGTAATTTGATGATCCAGTATCAACTTTGCTGGGTTGGCCACATCATCTGGATATCTGACTTCAGACTCCCAAAGCAAGTTTTTATTCTCCCACCTCAGTTGCGACGTATGCTCAAGAGGAGGGCAGTAAAAGCACTAGAAGGATGTCTTCAAGGACAACTTAAAATGCAATATCAACATTAACGTGTGGGACCATGCCAAATGAAGGAAGTCTGCTGCAAGGATCTCGGTACTTTGAAACCTTATGGAAATGGAAAAGCGGGAATGGCAGAAACAGCATGTTGCAGACCAAGTCAAGAATTTGGAGCCACCCACTCCAAATGGCAACACCTGTCCAAGTTGCAACAGAGTCTGTTGACCCTAGATTGCTTTATCTGTGGGTCCAAAGATGACTGATGAAGCCAGTCATGGAAGGTAATCATCTTTGACTGCAAAGGATTGCCAGAGGCTGAGTAAGTTTTTCCTAATATCTAGAACCAGAAAGAAAACTGCATTTTAGTGCACAGAGGCTGCTGGCAGTATGCATTTCCTCCATCTTTCAGAGGGTGACCTTCCTGGAAGGACACCTGGGTTGAGAGCAGTGCAATGAGAGTTTACACAATGTGTTAAGGGAACTATAGGAAGAGGGTCATTGTCTGAGCTTCTTCAGCACCTATATACATGACAGTCCTCTACTCTGCATGCTAATTGACATGTGTCAGAGCAGACTTGATAAATCGAGTCTGCTGGATCATGTTAATACGCTCCAGCAGCTTCCATGTCACAAGCTTTAGTTAAAGCACCCCCACTGCCACTTTGAAGTGAGGGACACCAAATACATGTGATGCTTCAGGTGCTTTAATTAGTGGCTCTCAGAGCTGCTTTAATTAAAGACGCTCCCTGCTCCACCCTGGAGCATGTGTATAGATGCCCTTTAACTCTAATTCTGCAAATCTTGGTGGCTTGGGTGGGGTTTTTACAAGAGCCCACTTGTCTGTCTGCTTTTCTAAGACAGTTCATTTAACTCCTGCTGAGAATAGAAGTCATTCTTATGAACAATAGAAAGCTTTTTAGTAGATTAAAATCTGTTTTGTTGCCCCATAAATTCTTGCATTTCTACAAATCAAAGAGAAAGGACAGATGAGTTCCTGGTGTTCACCATTAAAAAGATGCTTCTGCAAATTGTGCAGTCCTAGAATATAATGGTCTTTGTTTTCTGGGAATCCTGACCTGTCTGAGATGGGAATGCAAAGGAAGATTCAATTACCAGTGGGCTTCTTTCTTAATCCTGTTGTTGACAAGGAGTTGCCTTTTTTTTTTTTTTTTTTTCCAGACTCAAAGTTCCATCTTGGTTTTGACTGAAAAGTGTCTAATTTTAAAGGCATGGGATCCTTTTGAAGATAGCTTGAAATTGTTCCCAAAATGTAGGGAAATATCTCAAATTCCTGCAAAGATCGAGCTAGCGATCTTTGAATATTAGTTGCTTCAGTTGTACTCTGACCTTGCATGGCCACGAGCCAGCTGCATGGCATGCATCCAAATTGGGAATACCAGAAATTGGCTCAGTCTGACAAACATAAGTGTTGCTTTATCTATAGCAGTAAGAAGCAGTAGATGGGTGGGGACCTTAAAATGTAAATATTTAATAATATATTTGAGAAATACCTGTTTCTGGAAAGATTAAATGCCATCATGACCTATTTGGGCAATACCAAGAAAACCAACTATATTTTTGTAGTGTTTGTCACTAAAATAGCCTATGATATCACTTCGTAATAATAAAAGAGGTAGTCTGGGGAGTCATTAAGACAGAGCATAAAAGTACCCGAAGCCCCTAGCATCTCTTTTTCAAGTCCTCATACTGCAGGAGAGTGGAAAGTTCAGAATATAACATATTTCCTTAGGGATTTTTAATAATAAAAAAATACTTCTGCTATATCTTAAATAGAATTTTAAACAAAACAGTTATATTTCTTGTTGATTTTAAAAGTGAAAATATGATGTAATCTCAATGCAATAATATTTTACTGAATGGTGTTTGAAGCTAATAATCTTTAATATGGTGACAAGTGATAGTCTATGAAAATCAGTAATAAGGCAAGGGCCTTCTTTGTTTTACATAGCTGTTTTCTGTTGCCTTGAAGGCAGCATTAGTTATGCCAAGTTATAAAATTCATTGCTGTTTAAATGGCAAAATAAAAATATATGGAAAGAGTAATGAAATATTAATCTTTGCAATACAAAACCAGCTTTGGACTTGTGTTATTTCATATCTGTCACTCTGGTGGGAGCCTGGCAGGTATAAGATGAAAAGGTGTGAAGTTGGAAAACCCAATGTATTGAGTAATAAATCAATAATTGGTGATTCAGGTGTGGTGTTGAGAGCTAGGTTAGAATGATTTGCTGATAGTAATTTTTAAAATTATTTTTATTATTATTATTTTTATAGCCTCAAACCATACGGCAGACTCTCCAAAGGACGCTGCAGTATTATGAGCATCAAGTTATTGGGTAAGTACAAGAGATTCTAGCAGTCATCTGAGATGTGCATAAATAATAATTGACAGTTACTGAGTTAATTTATTTTTGCCATTCATGTCATTGGCTTGGGTGACCAGTCTTTCTAATTCTGCTCACAAGGAGTGCTTGAGTATGTTTTAGAGGAAATATAGTTATAATAAATGGGTCTTTTGTTCTTATGATCTCTCACAGCAACTGAAATTACTGTACCATTCTAGTTATAAGTTAACCCTGCACATAAGAAATAACGGTCACAAGCTGGCAGAGGGTAGATTCAGACTAGACATCAGGAGGTGCTACTTCACTGTCAGGGTGGCTAGGATCTGGAACCAGGTTCCGAGAGAAGTGGTGCTGGCTCCTACCCTGGGGGTGTTTAAGAGGAGGCTGGATGAACACCTTCTGGCGGTCGTTTGACCCCAGTACACTTTCATGGCAGGGGGGCGGACTTGATGATCTGCTCGGGTCCCTTCCAACCCTACCAACTATGAAACTATAAAGCTTACCCACATTTTCAGGTTCAGTTTGAGGAAAAACAGATATTTTCCTGAATATAGGCTGACAACTACAGATGAAGACCTTGAACTGCTGTTGTCCATACGAAATCTTACAGGAAAATAAAGTAACTGCATGGAGCCTTTCCTTGGTTAAAAATACTAAATACTAAAATAAATGCTTCACTGCAAATGCATTCTTTTAAGGTATTTCTATTGTATGTACACAAATGTTAAAAGTCCAGAAAGTCCAGACCATTAATGGCCCTAGCTGGGGGTTGATCCAGGGGGGTGTGGTAGTGCAGTTGCTACCTCCCTTTGGCTGTGTTGCATTTGAGCTGTCAGTGTAAGTCTAACTAGAGCCTCTGGTTTCATGCGGTTCAGGAGTCCAGAGGGCAAGAGCTGCTACCACTGCTCATCCTCTCCTTTCACCCTTCCCCTCCCTCTAGTAGGGAAAAGCACCAGTGATCACCCCCAGGGCTCCAGAACACTGTGAAAGAAAGGGCGCTAGCCAGACCCTGCCCTGATAAGCTGGTGAGCTCAGAGTTCACTAATTACCCAGAGCTCTAGCAGGAGCCTGGTAGTGAGGCCAGGGTTCACAGCCAAAGTGGTGGGCCGTACCTCCTCCCATCCCGTTCCTGGATTTGCTACAGAGCCTGAATTTTTTTGAAGTCAACTGTGTATATAAGTTTAGTGTGACTTCTTCATGGTTCTTCTGAAGGAAATAAAACATAGATTTATAAGTAAAAATATGGTATTGTCTATCCTTGCTCCCATGCAAAGACTGAGGCTATGGACATAAACCAATTTGTGTGCAACTTAAGTGATCAGAAACGAGTTTAAACCTGTAAAGCTATTGGGGCTGTGCAAAGCTTTGGTAGTTGATTCAATTCAGAGGAGATGTGGCCCAATTCGGCAGAAGAATCTCCAAATCCAAATTGAATTGGGAGACCAATAAAAAGGTCTGAATAGAATTGGAAGCCTCCAAATCAATTCAGAAAAGATTCGGTGCCACTTTGGAGATTTGGCCATAGACTAAACAGGCAGCAGTCTTCACCATGCTGGACACAGCTGGCTCCAGCTGGTAAGTCTGATGTGGTGGGGGGGAGGCAGATCAATGCCCCCACAGGAAGGGAGGGGCTGGGGCTGAGACAAGCTGCCTGGCCTGGGGGCTAGGGGACACAGTACTCGGGGAAGGGAGCAGGGGAACATGGGATGCAGGCATGGCAGTGCTGGGAGCTATGCCCTGCTGCTGCTTGCCCAGCCTGGGGAGGGGGTGGGGGGGCATGATGAAGGCGTGGCTCACTACGGGAAGAAAGGGGAAAGCAGCAGCAGGGCAAAGCCCTGCTCCCAGCACTGCCATGCCCACAGGGGGTGGGGGGTGCAGGATGTGGGTGCTGCCAGCTGGGGTTGAGTGGGGTGCAGGATGCAGGTGCAGCAGTGCTGGGAGCAGGGGCTGTGCCATGCTGCCACTTGCCCCTTTCTGCCTGGAGTGACCTGCACTTGCATTGCGCCCCTCCTCCCCAGCTGGGCAAGTGATGGCAGCGGCAGCATCCTGTGCCTCCCTGCCCCAGCTGGGCAAGTGGTGGGCTATGCCCTACTTGCTCAGCTGGCTTGGGGGAAGGGGTGTGATGCAGGCATAGCTTGCTCCAGGCAGAAGGGGGCAAGCAGCAGCAGGGTATAGCCTCTGCTCCCAGTGCTGCTGCACCTGTATCCTGTGCACCCCCATGCCTGCTGGGCAAGTGGCAGCAGCGCTTGCATCCCGTGCCCCCCTGCCCTGGCTGGGCAATCGGTGGGCTATGCCCTACTGCTGCTTGCCCAGCCAGGGCAGTGGGGCATGAGATGTGGGTGCAGCAGTGCTTGGAGCAGATGCTATGCTCTGCTACCACTTGCCCCCTTCTGCCTAGAGCAAGCTGTGCCTGCATTGCACCCTCCCCTACCCCTGCCCCAGCTGGGCAAGTGGCAGCAGGGCATAGACCCCACTCCTAGAGCTGCCATTCCTGCATCCTGTGCTCCCCTGTGACTTGCCCAGCCGGGGTGGGGGTGTGCATGATGCAGATGCAGAAGTGCTGGGAGCGGGGGCTATGCCCTGCTGCCACTTCCCCCTTGTGCCCCGAGTGAGCCACGCCTGCATCATGCCCCCCCTCTCCCCTGCCTCAGCTGGACAAGCAGCAGCAGGGCAGAGCCCCCACTCCCAGTGCTGCTGCACCCACATCTCACTCTGCCCCACCCCCCTCCCTGAGTTCCATGCCTTCCTGCCCCAGCTGGGCAGCTTGTCCCTCACTATGGGGGCATTGATCTGCCCCCTCATGTCCCCTCCCTTCCCCCTCCACCCACCACAACAGACTTGGCGGCAGCATATCCACTGCTTAGCAGCTTCTTATTAGGGCAAGCTGGAAAGTGCCAGAAAAAAAGTTTGATGCTGAGCAGAGGCAGAGCAAAATCCCAGACATTTATTGATTATTTAAGGAAAAAAAATAGCTGGACAGAGATGAGAAAAACCCAAAAAGAGGACATGTCTGGGAAAACCCGGACATATGACAACCCTAGCACAGGGCTTGATTGTGTTAGATACTAGGAAAAATGCTGCCAATGGGAATCCTTGCCTCAAAAGGTGGATCCACACATGCAAGGACATGCGCTTGCAGCAGCTCAAATAGAAGCGGTGCAAATTTTTGCCTTGGTGCATTTGCTTTGACATGCACCTTGTTGTGGAGCACATTGTGCCACTTGGGGCAAAATAACCCTGCCTGACTCTTCCTGGATCTGCAGCCAGGGGGACCTAGAGCCCAGGGCCAGCACCTGTTCTGGCCCTAGCAGTATAAAAAGCTGCTGTGTTCTGGCCCTAGCAGTTTAAAAAGCTGCTCTGGCAAGTAGCTCAGGGCTATTAGCTCTCAGGAGCTTCTGGGGCCCAGCCAATTGTGCCAGCTGGACTGCTGAAGCAGCTCTGAGAGTTCCCTGCTTCCTCTACCCACTGCAGCAGTCTGGAAGTGGGGGATGCTGCGCAGCTGTGACCTGTTATACACCTGCCAGACCCAGATGGGGACTGCAGAGCCAGTAGAGGCATCTGCCCCTCTGGGCCAGCTGCCAGTGGACTGTGGTTGCAGGGTTGGCCTTTTTGCAGCACTACTACTACATATGCCCCCTGCCTGGCCATGTGGGCAGCTATTGCCCAGAAGATGTTCCGGGTGTCGTGGCGTACTTTGAACGGTCAAAGCATGTCTTCCTGGCCCCATTTGGCCAGGAGGTCAGCCACAGCCAGCTGGGTTCAAGGTGCCAGCTCTGAGCGGGCAGGGTCCTGCCACTGGCCTCCCTAGCAGGAATTCTGGTGTTCCCTATTGGAAAACTGAAAAATC